GAGTGCTTTGATGGTGTTTGCTGCCACCTTGAGTTCTACCACATTTATGGTGAAGCTTGCTTAGCCCGTTGGAAAAACTACTTACTACAAATGGTGTTACACAAAAGCCTAAATACTATTTCAATTATCTGATTTTTTTTTTCTTTTTTCCCCCCATTCTCAGGCATATACTGTTCAGTAAGGAATCTCCTTACCTGCACACCTTCGGTCCAACCAAGATACATTAAAACTCCAGGCATTACAGAAATATGTCCTGATTTGAGATCTAAAAAGAAACTGAAAGTGTACACTACAAATACAGCACAGGCTAGTCTGCTCTGGCGACTTTCCTTGATTGCTTGTTTTCAGGGGGCAGGGAATGGCCACCATTCCTGCATGAAGAATTATGACTAACTCATTCAAGAAGCCAGAAGTAAAATATCAGAAAGTTATCCCCCTCACTGTAGTGAGTTTTTGCTCCTTTCAAGTTGAGAAGATATTTTTAGAGAGAGTAGGAAAGCTTCTGTAAAATTATATTAGCTGTCAGCTGAAAATATTGCTGCCTAAATCTCACATTTTAAAGTGGAAATCATTTGAACTGAAAAATCTGTCAGGTTATTTTCCTTCCTTTTTTTTTTTTTTTTTTTTAAATGAGAATAGGTTTTTGTAAATGATGTTTTAGCATCTGTGGTTTATTCCTCTGTGCTCTCCAGGAGCAAAAGTAGCACAGGAAGTTGTGGATTCCTCCTGTCTTGTGTCTAATAAAGCTCTCTTTCCCTTCCCTAAAAATCATACAGTCCTGGATTTTAAAATGCCATCACTATGGTTTCCAGGATTACTATTATCCATTCATACCTTAGGTCACTAAGTTGGCACAACAAGACTTGCAGAAGACAGAAAATGTGCCTCTGGCTTGCAGTTTTTAAAACCTGCGTCTGTTTAAAGAAGCTGAGAGATTGACATATGAAAGGGCAAAGCTCAGGGCACAAAGATGAAAGATAAAATTCTTTTATGCTTTCATTGCATTAGAGATGGAAAAATACAAGATGTCACTGTGCTGTACAAAAGCATTATTGACATACATTTATGATGGTGACTATACATCCAAGTGAGTTGAAAGACAACTCACTGCAAAGAAAAAAGAAAAATTTGGGGGCTGTGCACTACATTTTCCACTACAAATAAATTGAAACCTACTTCATTGCTTTACCATCGGAAATACCTGTTAGGTTGGGTTCATAATGAAAGGATGGATGACTCAAGTATTTAAGGAATATTGCTAAGCAGCACCTTTTTATATAATTAAGGAGCAAAAAGCAAGTACAACCCATTAGCATGCACTTTTCTGCCATGATTAAGAAAATGGTCTCCAGAAAAACGGTTACAACTTACACGAGGAAATTATGCATAACATGATAAAGCTATACTTCATAAAGTACATAAAACAATTCATACTTATTTTAAAAAAGAAAGACTGGGAAAAATTCTTTCTGATCCAATCCAAAAACCTTAAGGAAAGGCCCAGCCTCCATATAATTTCTAATTTATGTTATCATTTTTAGTATGGTATAAATAGCAAAGCCCATAAATACTATAAATGATTATATCTTAAGTAATTCCTAATGTCATCCATGTTAGACATCTTGTGCACATTGCTTCTTCGTAGAGGTTATTTTCTACAGCACTATCACACATTCTAATGTTTTCAGTATCACAGAATAATGCAAAGGTCTCTCACCCAGAGACTCCAAAACTTGTTAACATTACATAGCCTTGTTTGATGACATTCAAAAATTCGTTGAAATTATATTATCCTAGTTCCAGTAAATCTGAAGCTCCAAATAATTCTTTTTACATTTCTTTTCTGAGAAGCAAATATCTTCTTGCTGAATGACAAGATAAAATGATCAGACCATTAGCTGTTGAGCTTTACTAGTAATACTGATTTTAAAAAGACGACATATTATTGGAGGAAATCTCCAAGACCACAGGGTCCTCCTAATCATGTACTGAGACCTGTATGCGAATTAACTTGATCAAGACTTCACACAGTGCAAGGAGTCCAACAGTCTTAGAGAATTAAAAACCTAGGCAACAGGTTTCATTTTTACCTCAACACAAGGAAATATCATGATACCCCAATAAAGAACAAATTTTTGTATTGTAGGCTTCTTTGGAATAAATTTTAAAGCATATGGAAATAAGATTGAAAAGATCAGACATATTTCTTTACTAGTAAAGGAATTTACCAGGGATAGAAGCTAGTGCAGATGAGTTTTCTATATACAGCAATTCCACCGGATGCAATCCCAATCATAAGATCTAGATTATGGAGATCCTGCAAAAGAAAAATAATGTAAGAACACAGATGCAGTTTGTGACATTCCCATTTATCTACTTATAAATTAATTTTCAAGTTTCCTATACTTAAATTGCTACTCCTGAGGCAAAAATTCAATCACATATTTGGATTTTTTTTCATGCATCTCTTTTCTTCAATGTTATGTACTATGTATTACAATTCCACTCACTAAAACAAGTTCTAACGCTCATCTAACTACACTAGATATTCTTTAGGTCAGCATCAGACTAATGTTTCAAGTCCAGCCTTATTAATTTAACCATGGGAAAGAAGTTGAAGTACTTCCCAAGACAAGTCAGGTAAATGTCACAGAATTCTGGGAACTGAATACAAATGTCCTAATTCTAAGCTGTTTAAAAAGACAAAGGAAATAATTCCTTTTTTTTCCAAAAAGGTCTTACCAACAAAAAGTAGGCAGGAGGTGACCATAATTCTGCATATGAGAGTATGCTAGAATGTACACATATGTGTACACCAATATTTGATACACTAAACTGATTCCATTGTTAACTAAAACAATACCCGTCCATTAGCTTAACATGCTCAACTCAAAAAATACATCCATAAATTTACAATCCTTTATATATAGCGAGAGAGATACTCAAGACGAAACACATGCTTATGTACAAGCAAACACTTGAATTAAAAGGAAAAAAGGGGGAGAGAGGATGCTGAATGGTCAATTTGAGTCTAAACCCAAACTGATGTTACAAAAGTTACAAATCCTGGCTTCCTATTTCTCTGTGATCAACACTTACTAATACATCATTACACAAACTTCTAAACAGAGCTGAACACATGCATAAATCTACATGTAAGTGTAGAATCCATTGGTTAAAACATCAGGTTTGACTCAAAAGTAGTTTCAGGCTATTTTGTAAAGGATGGCCAAGGGTAACAGATTCTCTTAAAGCCTTCAGTAGCTTAGCTGCTCCTCTAGATGGTACTCTGTGCTCAGTTAATAAGCAGTTTTCTTGTATGTCTAATCCCAATTTCTTTATATTAGTAAGGTACAGAAGAATAGAACAGATAGCATATGGTCTAACAATACTGTGGAAAGTCTACAATAAATCCTTTAAAAATAGTTGAATAGAAGGGTGATACAGGCATATGAATGAATGAAGCTGAACCTAATTTGTAATGTGATTTATAAACCTCCAGTGAAATACCACAGCAATTCATAGGGAATGAGCATAACTTATTTAATACATAGTGCATTAACACTGAATACTGACAAGATGAGAGGACTACCAGTCCTATCTCTGAGAGTATAATAAAAGAAAATCATTAGGTAGGTAGCAGTCCAAATACACTTAACTTCAAGGCAGCCCAGAATCAGCTGAAATTATTAATAATCCTCAGCAATCTGCTGCCCTGCTTTGCCAAGAACTGCTGCTAGAGGAGCTGGTTGAATCCCCATCGGAAGACGCTCCCAAACTGCCAGTTTATGCCAGCATATTACAGGAATTCAGAACTGACACCCCATTATTTTAACACTTGGGGAGAAAACTAAGGTATTCCAGGAGATGAACTGTATGTAATTTAGCTGTCCCTGCCATGATACAGCCAACCTAAAGCAGGGCAGAAGCTTGTACTATTAGCACTTGGAGCTTACTCCAGGTTCTTGCTCTTAAAAATCAATACTGTGAAGAAAAAACAGCTTTAGGAGAAAAAAGCTGAAAACCTACATTATTTAGCAGAAATAAAGAACTAGCTAAACACTTGATAGGGATTAATTAGGCTAAACTACTCTATTTTCTCTGGGAGCTTGTCAGAACAAAGTTCATTCCCCACCCCCATCTGCCCCCAGTCCAAAACACTAACCTCCCATGCCATTTGTTATAATGAATTCTCTTATGTTAAACCTAAGAAAGCCAAAACTAAGATTTTGGACTAGCGTAAAGCAAGTGGGTCTCCCAAAAGAAAGATGATATAGATATGCAGTTATTTCCCTTTCAAAACGCCTATGCTGTTAAATTGCACAACTAAGAAATAACATGCATATACTTTTCTTTTTACCTGTTTCTTTATAGAGATAATCATAAAAAAAATTATAAAGATAAAAATGATCATACCAGGCATCTAGCTAGTTAAATACTGATTCACGTTTGATTTCATTTACAATTGCCATCTGGATTTTTGTAGATTTGGAAATAATATTGATTCTACAAATTTCCTATCTTCATGTCTCTGAGTAAAAATGAAAGATGAGTTAACATCAGACTAATTACTGAGTAAATGAGATAGCGGTCCAGAGTCAAAAGGAGATTAGGAATTCAAAGAAATCTCAATACAGTTTTAAGGTATTGCATTCATTCTCCTGAGTTTCTTAATACTATTTCATTTTTGAATATTGCAATTTTAGCAGTTCAGATTTATCCTCAGAGAAAAGCAGAAGTGTTTGCAGATGAAAACTGAGCTCAGGTTAATTCACTAATGGTTTCATGTTTAGCAAGTTCCTAAAAAGAAAGCTCACACTTGACTTCTGCAAAATACTTAACTTTGTACCATAAAACATTAAAATTAAGGAAACAAGATATTCATCTGTTCTTCAAGAAACATTATCCAAAAGTGTCCCATTCTCAAGCACCAGTACAGGAACATCAGCTTCTTTTGGCCACTAGTATAAAAGCCTAGCTCCTCTGCCATACACAATCTAAGAGGACTAAGACTATTTTAGCAGCAAAGAGCTGAAGCATAAGTATCCACATAGATAAAGCCTTCCAAAAAGCCACAGTTTAACTAGTGCCTGCTAGATCTGTTCAAAGCACTGGGACCTGACAAAACTGGAGGGGTGATTTAAGAGCAGTACTAAGTCAGGGGAGGATATCAGGAGGCACAGCAAACATCCCTGCCAAAGCTGGGGTACAGTGTGGTAGCCTCTGTGAAGCAGCAGCATACTGGGGGGGAAGGTATCTAACATTCACTACAAACTTCAGAAATAGACCGTTTCAAACTTCAGAACAATGTCATTTATAGTCAACATGGGCTACCAGATGAGACCAAATCTTGAGGAGTACTCTTCTGCAGGACTGCTACAGCACAGGCAAAAAGCACTCAGCAAATGGAAGACTATCTACTAGAGGACAATGCCCAGAATGTCCACTCTGATATAATCCAGTGCTGTCACTTTTCCTATAGGCCTTCAGGAGCATAACCAATGATAACGTGTTGAAAGGTTTGCCTCATGGCATTCAGTCCAAACAACAACTTGTAACCTATGTTTTGGAAGTACAAAACTCCAGCGACAACCAATCACACCTCTACTAATAACCCCCCTTCCCAGCTTCCAGTGTTTTACAGCTAGAGGATTTCCTGGATCAGAAGCTTTTTGTATGTTTAACGGACTCCAATGAATCATTCTTCCACTGAACTGCCTAACTGCTCTTGATACCTATTTCACCTTGGTCATCCATTGAAAATAGCAGTAATCCCCACAGTCCAACTGCAGCCATATAGAAAAAGTTCCTTTTGCTGAAATCTGTCTCTTTCCAGGGAGATTGAAGCTCCTTAAATCTTTAAGAAATTGTTCGTTATTCACATTCTCCATGCTGTTCACTTGCTACAGAAGGCTTTTCCTTAAAACACTCATGATTGTTATCCTTCTCTGTACTTTTCTTATTCCATTACCCACTTTGAGATAAGAAGGGAGAGGAAGAACAAAACTCAACATTCAAATTATATCAAAACACAGATTTAAAAGGTGGCATAACATTTTCTATTTTGCTTTCTATTTCCTTCCTAGCAGCTTCTAATTGTCTCGATGTTCAGTTCAAGTACTAGAAAAAACAGACCACTTCAAAGATTTTCATCCTTCAAAAAAATTGAATTGTGATAAAAGTATTAATTTGGATTGAAACAGTAGCAGGACAGTCTGCATCTTAGCAGCCTGGAATACAGAAGGCTTTGATGCAAATCTGTACTCTATTTGATTCACATCATACAGTTTGGTGTCAGGCAGAGTAGGGGCTCATGACTAATATTCTGACAACCTGGTAGCCCCAGGTCATTAAATATGAAACAGTGCACTGGGAAAAAAACCCACAATACTGTTTAAGCTGGTATCTCCAGTAGGTATTTATACTCAGAGCAGCCCAGTATGCTGCAATGAAATTTCATTTAGTTGAAGATGTCTGAACCCACTCTAAACTATCCTCACTACCTGGCACTGGTATGACCACTAGTGACGTCCTAGATGTAGTTCGGTGGCCTACAACTCAGGAAGGATGTTGGAAATTGAAGAACTTTCATAAACAGCATCCCATGAACATTAAGAGAATAGCCTCATGGTGAAAGTCTTGGGTCTTGGAACTTAAGTTGGCTTATCAAAATACTAGGCTACAACAGAAGTTAAAAGGCATAGACAGATCAAGTTAAGTGCACATAGGAAAATCTCAGGTGTGACAGTAAAGGGTTCTTCAATATAGCAGAAAGGTGACAAATGACCCAATGGACAGTGAACCTAGACAAAGTCAGATTTAATAAGATGCCTGTTTACCATTTAAAGGTAATCACCTTATTAGAAATTGGGAAGGTTTTTACATTGTTAGAAGACACAAGAACATAAGAAATCTATTCACATATGCTACGTTACTTAACCACAACCAATGCATGTGAACTAAGATATCTGATCACCTTTATCAGTTGTCACATAACAGTTGCCTCTCCTGATACTCATATCAGATGGTATAATCACAGACAGTTCATATGTTCATCACTTCAATTATTTCTTTTCCTTTGTACTTTTCCCCATCCTTAAAAAAAGGCTTCTACAGTTTGAGCATTGCATTTCATGAATATGAATGTAATTACAGTGGCTTTATATAGGAGTATGTTAGGAATTCTTAGAAATCTAATGCAACACTCACTTATTTGCGGTAGCGTAAAGAAAAAACAGAAGAAAACATCACACTGAAGAGAAAGAAAATGACCTTTTCTACCCCTTCCATCATTACAGAAATTGATGATTTTTTTTTCATTAAAATTCTCAGTGTCAGGATTATCAACAAATTTCAGAAAAATGTTAGGAAAAACAGTAGTCATCTTCATTTAGGAAATCAATCATCTGCACTACACTTCATTAAGTTTTTATACAACAAGCTTTATGCCAAAATAATTTGCTATTACATAAAAGCACAAATGGTAACTTGCACACTAGGATGCAATTAAAAAAAAAAAAGTATTTTGGGGATTCGTCTCAGACAGCTAGTGTAATCAAACAATTAAATCCCAGTAGCCAGTGAAAGAGTAGGACATGTTTCTTATCAATGCACACCCTGTATCTGAAAGATTTCAAATACACCATTAGTGGTCATCTTCCACACTGTTAAATACTGCCTAAATTTAGCCTGGAGTCAGGGAATAGAGGAATAAAATAATAAAAACCCCCTCTATATTCTTAACACCATTAGAAATTCAGAGAAAGTAAACTCTTAAAACACCTGCCAACTACATCATAGCACTAAACAGAGCATTCATTTTCTTTCATGCTAAGACACGCATAAACTTTACTAAAGTTATTAAGTAAAATATATTGCAGTATTGAAACAATTTATCTTAAAAAATACATTGCTATTCTTCCAAGGAGATCTAGCTTATTTGGCTGAAATTCCAGCACCTAGGTTACACAGAAACTATTGAAAAATTACCCAACTCTTGACTTAAAAATAACACATGATAAAGTCAATATTTAAATGCTACTGGTTTTACTGCTATTAAGTTCATGTTAAAAAAGCATATACATTTTTTTTTCTAAGTGAAAAAAATCACAATGTAAACATACTCTACCACTGTGCAATTCCACTCCATAGAATTCAAGTGTTCGTGCTATATTTATGTAGCAGGACTCTGCTTCAGATTGCTTGAGGCCGCTAAAAAAGAGGGGGGAAAAAAAAAGATATATATAGACCATATCAAAAATAAAAGACATGATATTATATTTATTTCAAATGCAGAAAAACAGAAGAATCCCACAGCCCGGTATCTGACAAATCAACCTCATTAACTAGTACCACAAGTTCTTCACTGGTGAAGGTCCACTTAAACTCCTCTAAAAAATGGAGCAAAGTACACACAACATTATTACCTTAGAACTGGTCCAGAATGGCTTTTTATAAAAATCATTTGTATCTGTTTTGTTTAAAGGGATGAGGAAATGATTCCCCTATAAAAGCTTCCCTTGTAACAAGAAGCTGTATCTGTAAATATTCTATATTGCACAGTCTCTCAGAAGGAAGTAATTTAGAAGAAAG